TCGTTTGATAGGGCTGGTACCCAGGAGAGCCAGGAGGTGGTGGAGGGTGTGCACCCGTCAACAGCAGGACCCTTCTGCTGTGTACAGATGGGCCATCAGGAAGACCTGTCCCGATTCTGCAGGTGGCTGAAGAAAGCAGGTGGGTCTTGTGGCTGTGATGTAGAGGTCAGCTGCACAGTGTCCCCTGTGCACACATGTGGATGCCCACAGGCACGTGCAGGGCACCATGGATGGCTCTGGGGAAGAAGGAGAATCTTCTCTCAGGCACCTGCCCAGGCACAATGTGTCTCTGCTGGCTTGAGGTGGCAACTCACCAACAGCAGCGGGTGGTGGCATCATGTCTTAGGCCACTGAAGGCCGCCCTTCCCAGGGTGGGGGAGCCGAGGGCAGGAAGAGCCTGTCCAAGGGGGGCCCCTGGCCTTTCACTCAGACCTGCATTTTGTTCCGAGGACCTTGTGGGTCCCCTCTCTTTTTGTAAAGAAGTGGTAGATTTTCAGGCAACGGAAGCAAATTCTGTTAGACTAGGACAGGGCAGGGGGCAGGGTGGGGGCAGGGTGGGGACAGGAGGGCCCGTCTCTCAAACTCACCTCAAGGAGAGAAGAAAGGAGGTGAGGAAGGGAGAGTGCTCAGCCCAGAGAATAATTGATGATGATGATGATAATAATAATAATAGTCGACAATGTAATTCCAGCACTTAGTCTATACCCATTTCTATACCAGGTGCTTTGCACGGATAATTTCTAGCCCTGACAACGAACGTGTGGGGTCCATTCCTCAGATAATATCACAGAGGCACAGAGAAAAGCCCTTTTTGGTCTGGGAAGCCCATCCCCTCCAGTCTCCCCACCTTCTAGGACCTGTCCCTCATTTCATTTCCTGTTGGAAAAGGAAACTCAGGGCTCCGGAGGCCAGATCTGCGCCTGTCCTGTCTGGGGAGCCCGGGTCCAGTCTTCCTGGTGCTTCCTACTTTCTCGGGAAGGGAACTGGCAGCGGCCTGTGCCCACCGTCCGGGCCTCCAAGGTTATCCCGATAGCGCGGGGCGCCTCCTGTGTGCGGTGCAGGCTGCAGAGCTGGCTGCAGATAAGGTCTGGAGGCTGGGCGTCCTGCATTATCGCGGCTCCTTAAGCCCAGATGAATATGTAAATGTCCCCCGGCCTCCTGGCTCGCGGCAGAGGGGGCCGCTTCCTCCGCAGCAATTCGGAGGGTAAAATTGATTAATATTTGTTTTCAAAATGACACGCGGTGATATATGGGCCCTTTTACAACTTAAATTAATACTTTAAAGAGATGAATGGTCTCCACCGAGGGTGTTAAAGTTCAGACCCAGGGAATTTGCATATTTATATTACAGTCAACTGATAGTAATTGTGGGAGCGGTCTGTAATGCCGTTCGTTTGTCACTTTCAGCCGTGTGTGCTTCTGCCAGGGACCTCATTAAGTCCCGCAGCCCCAGCCCCTCCGCCCTGCAGGACAGGGGCTGCCCGCGCTCAGGGGCCTGTGGTCAGGGCCAGGCTGAGCCCCACTCAGGCCCGGGCATCCCTTTAGGGTGGGGGGCGGGTAGGGTAAAAGCAGGCCCCTGGAGCCCACAGGTCCTCAAACAGGGCTGGTGAATTGTTCCCACAGTGACAGTCACCATCGGGCCCCCTTGGGCCCCCCAAAATCACTGCAGTACTCCTCTCCCAGTTAAGGTCCTCCCAGAGGCACATCTTGAGACCAAAGTCTGAGGGCAGGGCATTCTTTTGATAGTCCCAGAAACAACGGCAGAGAGAAGAAGAAAGACCATAAAGTCGGGGAGTGGTGGCTCTGGCCTGTAATGCTAAGGATTGGGGAGGCTGAGACAGGAGGATGCAAGTTAGAGGCCAGGCTGGGCAACTTAGGGAGACCTGACTCAAAGGAAAAATAAAAAAAGGGCTAAGTACAATCCTTGGTGTCAAAGAGCCAGAGAGAGAGAGAGAGAGAG